CGTTGCTACTAAGTTAACATCTCTGCAATACGCTGACGTGAAACTATCTAATAGCAGAAACCTGAATGCAATTCTAACCTCCTACTCATGCTAATGTGTCGCCTAAGCACGCATATGGCTGTCATTGTCGATCTGTGAACTTACGTCTTACTTCACTGTAGATCCAAGTGCCTCCTGCTCAGCTTGTCCACAAAGCAGTGCGAACAGGGTACATTCAAATATGGTACGTTTGCCACGTTCTTCTTGAAAAACTTCCTCCAGCAACGACGAACGAATTGACGCATGGGTAACGTATGAAAGTAATATACACACGTAATAGATACGCACACGTTAAATCACATAGTTTTTTAATCGTGCTAGATTCTTCGACGAAGTCGATACGTACGCTGAAAGTTCAGTATGTATGGCATAGTCCATAGAAATGCATGACCGTCTTAGTCCGCTTGGAATTAACAAAGAGCGGTACTTCGCTCCTCTTTATTCCGTAGTTGAATGGGTGCGCGAACTTGAGAGCGCCAGTTGGCAGGGCACCGTGTCTCAGGACAAGAGCAACACTAACTAGACTCCCATATTATTAATATTGTCTTTTATTATGACTGTTATTTAACCACTACCATTTCTGCTATTACTTTCGTCATTAATTTTTATCAAGACTAATGATAACACCCATATGTGCTTGATCTAATCAACTTCGGGGGGGGGGGGGGGGGGGGGGGGAGCACAGAAAGCGACAGCGCCAGTTTTGACGCTGTGCCGAAATTTCAACGTTCCAAACTAAAGTAACGATCTGGCGATGAACTTCTGATTCGTTGCCTTCATTATATATATTAGAGTATCTCAGTCCGACTTTCCGCTAGGCGATTATTAACGCCGGAATCATAATGAACGTCGCAGTACCACACGTCACCATTACGAAGGGCGAAGCCCATTTCAATCCGCAGATCGTACGTCCTATACCCAGCTTCGTCAAGCTGAAGAAAACACAGGCAAACATTTACAAGTCTCTTACTATTTATTATATTTTCTTTTTTTTTTGCTTCACTGGATTGTCCAGCCACTCGGAGTGTATCTTCGTGTCTGCGTGTGTGTGTGTGTGTGTGTACACGCTGAAGCATGATTGACCATCTTCATCCATGTATAAATATATTCTCCTAGATCCAAATTAGACAGCGGCATTCGTTTAACTGACGCCAGGTAGCCACAGCAGCGACTGTGTGTGTCCATTATCTTCGCTGTTACCCCTGTCATATGTTTGTGTATCTAGATACGGAGTTCTTCTGTATTTGCCAATGTCACTGACTTTATGACTAATGTTGTTTCAAGCTCTTTCGTTTTGCCCCCATAAGAAATATGTGTCATGCCATTTCTACCCATCCATCAAGACACAGAGTGCTGTAGGGGCGAACAGCAGCGGTGGCATCACGGGCAAAACGGAAAAGTCTTTCGCCTCTGGTGCCATTTAACGTTTGCTCTATTTCTCTTGCTGAAAATAATACTCAGAAAAGCCAAAGCTAAAAGAGCGGTCATGACTACTAGAATATTTTAGCAGAAGCTCTAGATTTAGTGGCAGCGGGAGTGGTAGTGGTAGTAGAAGGAAGCAGTGGCATCAAATGCAGCAGAAACGAACCGTTTGACGCATTCTGTCTGTTTTTTTCGATCGTATGAAATGCGATGAGAATAAAGATGACGATGCGGGCGTTCTGGGCCGGGCAGGACAGGTAGCCAGATAGCTAGGGCAAGCATGAGTCTCCAGCGTCCGCCGTCGCACTGCTATCTCTGGCTGTTTTAATCGATCTCGCGCCGCCTCGCCCCGTAAAACATGTTCCTGCGATCATTCGTTCGTTCATATGCGTAACAATAGATCTGTCTTCGCTTTCCGCCATCGTTTATACACTGTCGTTAGTACAACTGCTACCTTCTTCACTGCTGCACTATCAGCGTCATATACACGAACGGTAATAGTAACGACAATAATAATAATAGTACTAATAGTTAATATAAATGATTTGATTTTAGGGTAGGCTTTTCGTGCTCCTCTGGTTCTTGGCCACCACAACGGATCACAGACATCGTCGGCGTCATCATGGATATTCGGGAGCAACAAACATATGCGGTGAATACCGACCATCAGGCCAAGTACGCCTCATGTCTGGGTTCTATCTTTAACCGACAGTGTAAGGCAACCGTTTCGGGGTTCTCAGTACTATTTAATTGCAGTTTGTTAACGAACGAATTAGACCTGTTGAGATGTCGGTAAATCGAACTACAAAACAGACTATCTCGTGATCTGTCGAATATCGGAATATGTTAAAGCGATGTCATATATCTACGAATTCTCATTGTTTTGTGCTGTTGCTTACTTGACCTGTTGTTGGTTCTAATGAGGTTACAGCATCTAGCGGTACGGTTTTCCAAGAAGATTGTCCACTGCGGATTTCTCCATCAAGGCGCCAAACTTGGCGCCGCCGCGGCGATGTCAATGACAGCCCATGTAAATACTCTATCTTAGCCACGTGAATTTTCTGCATAGAACAGGACATTCGCGCGCAGTGTTACTTGCTTGGGTTAGTCCTGTTTTTTCGGTTTGTCCGTTTGACACCTTAACACCAACCAACGATCACGTGGAGTACCTTTTTCTCGCGCATTCGTCCCCTGCCGTCGTATCTAGTGAACGAAACGAGACACATCGCCTATAAATCTATCTACTCTACATAAAATATTGTCGCGTCCAAAACGCTGCGAAGTTTCAACAACTGAAGTAGCAACAGATACTGCCGCACCCCTACCTCCGTCTCTTTAAGATTCGGTATCAAGACAAGATGACGACGACACTGCTCGTCGTTGATTGCAGACGCACCGCCAGCGCATACTCTCGGTCGTATTTATTCGAATAGATGGAATATATCTAGCAACAAACGAATGATCCTGACGGGAACTGAGAACGAATGAGGGCTGTTTCAAGCTTCCGTCGATGTTGCTACTGCTGCGATCTGATTCCATCGTTTTATTGCAATTCGACGAGGAGGTCCGTTCGGTCAGTAGTCTGTACGCGTCCGCAGCATGGGGCGATGTGTACCGCACACAAAGACAATATATCGAGACAGATAAAAAAAAACGTCTAGCTGGATTCTGTTGGGTCGTATTGCAAACTCAGGTGCTTGCGCGCGTACGTCGCTACGTGTGTTTATTAAAGCATACAAAATGCGAATTTTACCGTAGCCACCAACGATAGAAAATAACCCGCGCATACATCGCTCATTCGTTGCTCATCTGATCCTCAGCTCAAGCTCCGCTGTCGTTCTTGTACTCGCGTGCATGACTGTGCACGTGTGTAATTGAAACGAGGAAGCACGTTTGTGGTCAACGACTTTATGGTTTCGAGAAGGACGACCCACTGTACCAAAAACGATGTCATCGAATTTAAATGACCACCAATAATACCACCTGTTTCTACAAACTTAACCGAAGTCGGTATTTAACGTCAATATCAGCAAGTGGCCTAGGCCGCAGGCTTGTGATACTAAAAAGACAAGCGCATCCAAATCTATCACGATTAGTTCTAGCTTCCGAATTGATTGGTGGTGCTTTCAGGCCATATTCGAGGCCTTAGTCAGGTAATAACCAAAACCTGTAGAATTAAGGATATGACGCAAAATCACCACGCTGCGCTAAAACACATTAAACCAGGCCATTTGAGATCACTTAGAGGCACAAAAAGACCTCTTATACACGCATAGATACGCGGCTATGACACTTAACGTAGATAAACCAAATGACCAAAATCAATGTAACAGGCAGCACGAACGAGATCATGATATTAAATCGAATAGCGGCGACGAAGTCGACGAAAAGAAATTTATACTGAAAGGAAATTTACGAAGAAGACTAGCAATGTAGTGCCGCGATAGCCGAAGGAAAAGGTTCATCGTTTTCACTTTCGGTCCCTCTCTGATTGTAGGGTTGTTTGGTTTCTATCATCATGATCCATACGTTTGCCCCCGCGGGGGTTTTCGGCTCGTCCACACGAGATTTCGCTTGTTGCTGTTCACGATAGTCATCATCTCAATTCGTAGTCATCACGACCGTCATGACATGTTGTTGTTTGGCTATGGCTGGAGCAAGAGGGACGCTTCGTCATGCAGCATTCGACGACAGCAACAGAGACTTCATGTCTATGTGTATGAAGTCTGTATCTGCTTTACTATATATTCTGTTCTATTCGTTCTTATGACGACCGTTTCTGAGCGAGTTACCGATGGAGGCGGTAGAGACGGCCGCCGATCGTACGACATCGGGTTCGATTGTGCGTCACATATGCGTACACAAACAACTTCATTGGGATTGTTTCTCGCCGGGTTACGAAGGTTACTGTGTTGTCGTTACGTTATTTGGCCATTTCGCTTACCCGCAATGCTGTCCAGCCCTGCTTGTAGACGTGTATGCATACTATGCATGAGAACATGGAGCACACCTTGCACACGAGAAATGTTGATGTTTTTTTTTTGTCTCGTTAGCGACTATTTTCCTGACTAGTACGTGGCGTATCATGAAATACTAAATCTTTATCTCGACGGATACAGTAAGACCTCGAAAAGAGACCATGACGCGCCTGCGATTTGCTATATAAAACGAGCGCCAGGGGAGGTTAATAACGAATATCGATGACACCCGTACCAATATGCCGGCAACAATATAAATAAAATTTGGAATCCCTTGTGTCCCGGCTTTCTTTGATGTTTAATTCCTCAGCGACGCTTTTTTCGAGTCAATATTATCTTAACTATAATTAAAGGGAACTCATACGATAATTAGTCACCAATGTGCCTACTATACCATCGTTTGATTTCGGTTTCTTTTTATGAACCATGTCTAATGTGAGAAGCATTAAAGAACAGCTCGACTATATGTGGAGACAAAATCAAGGCACATTTTTTTTGCTGCAAAACTGTAGATATTATATATAAGTTACGTTCTTTAGACTAGCTCTCCTGTGTACTCACCTCCATTTCGTGCGTCGATTCTGGAACCAGGTTTTAACCTGGGCATCTGTCATTTTCAGCTGTTTAGCAAGCTGGGCCCTCTCGGCGGATGCTAGATATTTTTGCTTGTGGAACCGTTTCTCTAACTCACAGATCTGCATTCGCGTAAACGACGTTCTCGGTTTCTTCCTTTTGGGCGGGGTCCGATTTTGATACGGATGTCCGATACGGCGAGGTGGTAAAGGTGCCGTTAGTGCCGAAAAGGCAGCCGCGGCAGCAGCTGCAATTCACAGATATTAACAGAAAATATAGCAATTCCGCTCATATGTATACACACGACTAGATAACGTTATAGTGTATATAAAAAAACAGAAAGCTTGCTTAGGATCATGGAGACGGCTTGTAAAGGTGTTCTTATAGATTAGCGTAGAAATGGGACGTCAGCTGCAGTGTTTATTACGTAATCGATCTTCAGTAACTTTCATTTACGGTTAGCCAAAACAAAAAAAAAAATGTTACGAAATATCTGACCACTTTTGCTTTCCATAAACAACAACACGCGACACGTAGTTACGCGTGACGTTGCTCAATCAGATTTTCCATGAGTATGGTGATTACACTGTTGATTTACGTGCCGCTTCCGTGGCTGATGATTCTACAGTTAACGTTCCGCATTTCAAAGATTTCGCTCATTGACTCGTAGCTCAATAGAAGAAATTTCATTTGTTAACAATGTCTGAGCGAATCACGCCACGATGGTAAGCGTGACGAAAGGCCTGTTCAGACAAATTTAATTACCGGTCGACAGCCGACGCTACGCTGATCAGCGTGCAAACGATGGCCTGTAATGAGACGACAGCCAGTCTTCCAATCCCAATATGGTGGATTTAATTATTATTGCGTAACATACTTTATGATGGTATGATGGTACCCGACGGTAAATTAGGTATGTACCCGACGTTCGAGAGAAGACCACTGAGGTGAATAATTTCATTTTGCGATCCTGCTAAAATTTAAATAAACGTTAAGTCAATTTTATTTTTGGTAATAACTTCCAAATCAACAATTACAATAGCAGCAAGTTATTAGCAAACGCTGTTGTCGACGACGAGCGTGGCAAGCATTCGGCGCAAATGATCCTTTCGGACCGGTGGCAGGGGGCCTGACATAGAAAAGGCACAAATGTCTATTGATATCCCTCGAATACTAGGAACTGGTATGAGCAAAGCGCTAAAGGGGGTACACGAAACTCGTCACGAAATCAGCGTTATCACACGTTTTCGGCTCGTTTTCTATTGCTCTCAATACCGATATTGTCGTTTTCGGAGTTCCTGTTTCTTGGCGGACGATTTGGCCATCTTCGTACCTGTTACAGCCAACGCATTCAGTACGACAGTGACCCTGTCGACTGTTCCTGTGAAAATAGCGTGACAAGCGGCATGTGCATGTAAACCAGGGATGGAATCGCTGGCGCACAACGACGACGACGACGACAAGCCAAATGTAATGAGCGAAGGAGCAAGATAACCAAGTTCTGCGCTCATTTCAACTGGTAGTCGTCGTCAAGCGGCAAGTTCGGTTGGCGCCGTAAACCACACAGGGCGAGGGAGGAACTTAAGGAAGGAATAGAGCGGTGAAGCTCTATAGTGCTACGGGGATGCTGTACGGTTGTTCGCCGTTGCCATATGACGTCTCATCTGACATCGGATCGAGGAGTGAAACAGATCTGTCCCAAGCGATAATGCGCGAAGCAAGACCAGAAACAATAATTGACCCACACCGTGGGGCTGAGACTATTTCGCTGATTTACGTTTTATACAAGATGGTTCTATATAACAACGAAATAGGGTGGAGTAGTTTAATTCGTCTACCGACACTGTTTGTGAACCTATTTTCACCTAGACTACAAACGCTTTCGTGATTATATCGTCAAATAGACCTTGTGATTTAACAAATCATTACATATATGTGTTACTTTGCGTACGTTCATTTGAAGCTATTGAGTTGAGCTGTCTGCTCATAGCAACAATAACACGAATAGGCTATTGATGGGTTTCGAACTTCCTACGGGTAAGCGGTATGTGTCCTGTCTCATCTAACAAATGTCCTTGCTAGCTTGATGATTTTGAAGGGAACAAAAGGCCTGGTGACAGAACCATTCGTTGGCAGCTGATGTCCGCTCACGTTTTGCTTCAACAATCGGCGAAGGACTAAAAAGTATCCACCCCACAGACAAATTCGAATCGTTAGCGAATAAGCAGCGCAGTAACGAAAGGCTCCTGCCTTGTCAGATGCTGTTCCTCTCCGAAAAACGAGCAAATACGTTAGCTACCAGCTATGTATAGGTAGTAACTTGGTTAGCTGTCGTATATCTACTTGCCTGTCTGGCTAGGGATTTGCCTGCCACCACCGATTGTCTCTCTCCACCACGACAGTCGCTGGACCACCAGAAGGCAGGGAACGAAGAACTAGTACAGAGGGTTCGCGCCCGCATGAGGTACAAACATGATGCAATCATACAAACGCCACCATCAGAGGTGCATCTTTGTCGCCTTCTTATTAACGCTCTTGACGTGGCCAGCCTCTCGCGTCAACCAGCATCTATACAGCAGGCTGATTAGTTGACGCGAGAAGGGTTCTCGCAGTTAAGCGACCACCTCGAGCAAAAATATGAAAGCGCGAGGAAGAGAAGCTTGTTCCATATGCCCTTGTATCAAGCTATCGAGTATCAACATGACAGATACATACGTACGTACGTACATACATACATACACACCTACAAATACATATCAACGCTATACAGTGTTTTAAAATTACCTGTACTTTGTTGTGCATTGCTCCATCTGTCTGCAGATTTATGTGTAATGGCCTGAATGTGTTTTTGGTCCTCAGCGACTCCGTCAGCTACGCTTTTTCTAATAGTGGACAATGGTTTCTGTGTGATCCGAGCGCTGCGCCATTCGTTTTATATATATGTGTGTGTGTGTGTGTGTATATGATTTAGCAGTTGTTGCCATCCTAGCGGATAACAGACTTCTCTCGTTGTCAGCGTCAAATTAAACAGAGTTCGTTCCTGATGTTCCGCTTGAAACGTTTCGTTATCGTCGTACTTGCAGAGTTTCCCTTCGTTCAACACCGAAAGGCAGCTCAGAGGAAGCAGCCCGCACTAATATAGCGATGCCGGTTTAGCTACAAGCACTATTACTAGTAGAAGAGAAAATGATGACTTGACTAATGATTTCATCCACTTAGAGTCGTTATTATGATATTTTTCTGCGCGTTTGTGAGAGTTTGTTGGTGCAACATGGCGCCCCTGAAATCAGATCAAGCACCATAGAGGGCCAAGCAATTTTAGCTGAGGCCGAACCATATCCACATTTATATTTGTTGTATTGCACTTTCCCTCCCTGCTAACGCGACAACTTGTTTTTCTGGTCGAAAAAAAAGGAGGCTTAGATACCATTATAATGACATAGAACCTTCCCAAGTGGGCGCTGATGACAGCTGCACAACAGAAGCAATAAAGCAATAGTGGAAGCTATCTTTTTCGGCCAAAAATACAGATAAAGCCCGACACTATATTCCCCTGGCTATAGAAACTAATATCTAATGTCACCTAGGGTGCTCCAGGTGCTCAGCGTAAGTTACTGCAGTAGACATGATCATTGTTTCGCACAGGGGTAAAACAATACAATAAATAATATTATATTGAAGTTGCTGCTGATTTTGTAGGCTTTTTCATATGTATTTATACGTCCTCGAAGGTAGTCCACAGTAACGGCTGGATTCGATCACAGTTAGCTGCTTTAGCTGTAAGGTATCCATATAAAATTAACAGGCCACCACGGGCAGTCCGTAGCAATACCCCGTGGCAAAGGATGAGCCATCGGGAAGCGGCTACGTCCGGATGACCAGAGATAGTGTTTCTATTGTCTGCGACATCGTTCTTACATACATACGTACATATATATCGGCATTTACCACATCAATCAGTTAGTGACGAACGACGTCAAGCGTAATCATGTAATTACATATTATACAACGACCATACCGCTAATAGTCTAAGAAGAATATTCATTATTATAATGATCTAATTATCCTCGTTGTGCATCCAAGAGCTCTTTCAGTTGTCCATATTAACAAAATGAAAACGCCAAACTAAAGCTGGCGGGATGGAGACGTTAGAGGGGGTCCATAGACGAGCGACCCAACCTGGGTTCCGTCGTGAAATTGTCTAACGAGGCTAGAACGACCTAGTGAACGGCTACCTCGACTATCTATATGATCTCGACCAACACTGGAAATAGTATATACTACAAATGTGATTTTAGTGGAGTTAGGTCAAGTGCAATGAAAACAAAGAATGACATAGATAATCGTCTCCATTTTGACGACCCTATCGTTCCGGCTGCAGCTCCCCTACGTGAGGATCATCAGGTTTTATATATTTAAGGATAGATCAAAGGGCCACCATCTCTTGCCCTATTTGTATAGCTTGACTTTGTTACTGTTCATTTTTGTCGCGACCACAGGGCTAATAATGGTAGTAGAGGGAAAGACGTCATTCTTGGTTCGGGCGTTTGTATCCGTTCATGTCCAGGTTGATGATTGTGTGTCATACTAGCGGTCGGCCATTGTGCGGGCGTCTTCTTCGTCTCGCTTGCATCTAACGTTGTCCGGCGTTTGCGTTACCGAGTGAGAGAGAATGCTATTCTTTGCATTTGTTTTGCCACGGCTTCGTACGCAAACTTATTTATTCGTCATAAACTGGCTTCGCCTGGCCGTCGATGAAGGTGTTGCAATCGATAACTCTTTTGGTGACGAGTCCACGTCCTCCAATATGGCTGCGGTGTAGTGCGGCCATTGACTACCGTCGGCCGTTGCCGATTTGTGGCGCGACCCATTGAGGTGAAACCGTTATTGTCTGTGAAGAAAATGAATATTTGTGTTTTCTCCATTTGCAGTAGCCTGTGCAGCCATCAATATCATTATCATGGCCATCAACAGCAAGATCATCATGAAAATCTTCATCATATTCCACCACAACGGCCTCCGATGCAATAACGGAGTCTCATAATATTAGCTGCTTATCTTCTCCTGTTAAATAATGCAACAGTGCACCTCCTTCGGCGACGCTGTAATGCCTTGATTAGACTGGGAGAGGAACGACGGACGAGAAGGACAGGGATTGGAAGGACAAGAAAATGATAAGTATAGCTTAGTGGGTAACATTGTCATGGTCCTCATCATCTCGCCTGACACCGCACAACTGCTGCCGCT